ATCTGCCCTCTGCCCCAGAGAGCTGCACTGTGAGCCCCTCACCAGCTTCAGGTGTTTCTCAGTCACTTCCCCAGCGAGGCTACCCTGACTGCCTCATTCAGAATCACAGAACTCGCTACCCGGCTTCCCAAACGCCTTCATTTGCTCTGCTTTTTAAAGTTGCATTTATCATCTTCTAGAATACTAAATACTTTGCTTACTTATTATATTTATTATCTATCTCCTTCCCCTACTCCCAAAAATAAGCTCATTGGAGCTTTTCTGCCTATTGTTCCTATTGTTTCATTCACTCATCCGCCTGGAATAGTGTGTGGTCTTTATTAGGTGCTCAGTTATCTGTTAATGGTTTAATAAATAAGTAAATAATCCTTCTCCTTGTGAATACCTGACTAGTCACAAGTAACTGATAGGAAGGGGTTATATTTATAATAAAATCACATTAGTTAAAATATAAAGATTCAAAACACAGCCATCCTATTTTTAGGTTAAACAATTGTAGACTCTTAAAAGCTCATAGATTAGACCTGGCTTTTTTTATCTTGATCCCACTCTATGAAGCTTGATGCCGAAAATCCCCACAGCAGCTCAGTTCCTTGTTAAGGGGGCCGGGGTGTATTTAGAGCACAAAACCTCCATGGAAGGACCACTGCGACTGTGGTGTGTATTTTCTCCACTCACCTCTGTCAGCTTTGGCTCTGGCTCTTAAACAGAATTCAGTTTTAAATGTTGCCGATCTCTAGCCCCTCGTGCAGAAATGTTGGCTTCAACAAGACCTAACTTGAATGACTACTCTCATTAGAAAGTGATTTGGGGCAATAACAGCCAGAGAGAGATTCTCCATCTGCAGAGGCAGGGGTCGGTGGGTTCCTTGGAAGGCTGTGGATCGTATGGGTGAGCTGCCTTTCAACAAGGCTTGCAAGTCAGAGAATTATGTTTTCTCAGGCTAAGGAACAGGAAAACCTTTGCACTTAGAGACCATTCCATGGTTATATTTTAGGTATATATTTTGTCCAATCCCAAAATTCAGTTACTCTGTTTCTGTGTACAAGTGCACCTGGGGCTATACATCTCTTTTCCAGTTCTCTTGTTATCTTTTCTGTAATAAAAATCAACTCTGATGCTATTAGCTCATTTTAAATCAAGAAATATCTTTGTTTTCCCCAAAGGCGAATTGTCTTGTCATGTTGTTTGTTTAATATTCTGAAGAAACCCTTAAACCAGGAAGCCATAGTCTAGGTGTTGGTAGCTGCTAACAATCGAGGTAAACAATGTATTGAATAAAGATGGTTTAATCATCATGTAGCCCGGAGTGGGAAAGTGTGTGTGTGCGCGCAGACATGAGGGGGGGGGCCTTATCATTTGTGTGTTCATGTTTATTCTTCTGATTCTAATTAAATAAATAAAATGCATTTAATTCTAGAAAAAGAGACATTTACCTTATAATCAAAGGTTAATTTCAAGGCCTGAAACCATGCCTAGAAACACAAGCTCACTCTCTGAAAAGCTAGTTCCCTGAGACCTGCTATGATGGACAGGTGTGATCTATTTAACTCTTTCCATTGGAAAGATTATTTTCTAGGCTCTGTGATCTGTGAACTTTTAGTTCTATTGTTTCTAGATCCCACTGCCGATAAGGCACTGAAAATGGGTTCAGTTTAGGGGACTTGGGCTGTGCCATGAGCCCACCCCTGATCCGGCTGTCTGGAGTTAGATGAGCTGGGATCCAGTCCCACCTCTGCTCCTTTGTAACCACGTGACCTTGGAACTCATCTGAGCCTCCTTTTGCTCATTGCTAAATTAGAGATAATAATGACCCCAACTACATAAGGTAAAACAATAATAGTAAATTCTCAATAAATGTTAGCTGTCAATATCATCCTTGTCTTTTAATCCTCGCAACAATTCTACCAGGTAACAACCATCCTTACTTTACAAATTATGGAGTCAAGACACCATGTAACTTGTTCAAAGGCATCCAGAAAATTAGAGGTTAAGCTAATTTAAATATACAAAAGCTCATGCTACTCCTTTCAGGACAATTCTTTTGAAGCTCTTTGATTGTAATCCAAAATTTCTTTTTGTCTGAGATTGAGGACCTGGACCTTAATAATTTTGATTTTTCTGTGTTAGTTACTAAGGGTCTGGATCTGAAAGCAGCACCAAGGATGTGGGCCCTATCTTGGCCCTCAGTTTTTCTGAAGCATTAGTTTTTTGCTATAGGAGAAAATTCCATCCTGGAGATCTGATCATGTAGCTGTACAGGAATGTTTGTGCAAAGCTGTGCCACTTCCTTGGAACCTTTGTAACATGTGCTAGCACCTGAGGTCACTAATGGGCAGAGAGATCAACAGTTAAGTAGGAGCAAAGTGAAACATTCATAGGAGCTGGTGAAGGAGCCATTACAACCAGGGCCACATCCCTTGGGCTGTGTACAATTCAGCCTTATTTCAGAGAGAATTCATCTTTCTATATGTTAAACGACACTGTGCTTCAAACATTTGTATAATGTCTTAATGATCCCCAAAAGGGGAATTTGTGAATGTGCTTTGAGTGCCTACTGTGTGCCTAACACTATGTTTGGGACCAGAGAGAGTCTGTTCATAACCATCACTGTGAGCTAATAACCTGGTGGAAGTACCTAAATAATACAGAACAAAGTAAGAACTGCAAAAAATATACTAGCAATGTGTACCTTTGTTTTCCCTGAGGCTGACAAATCCCAGGCAAATAGAAAGGCCTTCAATGTGGGTTAATTATTTTGAACAAAAGGAATGTGCTGTGATCAAACAACAGAAGAGAACAATTTACTCTGACTGGGGCGCCTGGGGAAGGCCTCATGGAAGAAATGTTACTGGCCTCGGAGAATGAGTAAGATTGTAAATGAGGGAGAGGGAGAAGGCATCGAAGGTGGAAGAAGCAGCTGGAGCAGAAGGCAGGGAAGCGTGTGAGTGTACTGCCCATTCCGGAGAAGTCCAGGAGCGTCTGCAGCTAAGTGTGGGTTTCATACAGACAGCGGTGCAAGATGAGGGCGTGAGGGTAAGCTGGAGCCCATTGGGAAGGCAGTAAGTGATGTAGAATGGAGCTTGCTTTCTATTTTCTTAATAATATTGAGGTTTTTGAAGGGCAGAGTAATACATTCACTTCGCTATCTTTGGAAAATAGTTCTAGGGATAGCACAAAGGATGGGTTTAGGAGATGAAACTGGAAATAGGACTGTCGGCGAGGAAGCGCATGTGGGAGGCTGACGAGTACTACTGTCAGCAGGAGACGAGGCCCTCACCAAGACAGTTACTGAGGAAATAAAAGAGCATTCCGGGGCTCAGGGACCGCCCACCAGGAAAATAATTTGTAATTGTCCGTGGGAAGTGGGGGGAAATGAAGATGGGATGAAAGAACCGTTGGTTCTAGCCAGGGTGTCTTGGGAGAAGATGATAGGTATGATAGGTACTGGGTTCTCTGTGTTGGGGAAGAGGGAGAATCCCCCTCCGCCCTTTCCCTCAAGGTTCTTGTGGCTGGACAAATAATTAAAAAGACAGGTTAGCAGGAGAAAATAATACCAAATTTAATAACACGTATACATGGGAGGAACCAGGGAAACTGAGTTTCTCAACACAATAGCAGAGATTCTCGTCTTAAATACTATCTTCAGCTAAAGACAAAGGAGGATGTTGGGGGTGGGGAGGGAGACGGAAATTACAGTCATCAAGGGTATACAGCTTTAAGTCTTCTCCTTCCATACTGAAAAGAATTTTCACGGATAAGGCCATCCCCACCTTCCCAATACAGAGAGGGAGATATCTTTACAATTGGAGATTTCCCTTATAAATGTAAATGTTTGTCTGGCAACTCCTTGCAAGGCCACCTAGAGAATGTGGCCAGGAAGAGACAGAATTTTTGATAAGAGGGGCTTGTTGGTGCCTTTCCTATTGTAACATCTATTTTACATTATATTACAGCCATCATATGACAGTAACTCCTTCCTGGAACAGGTCTTCTATGTTAAATTCTTTAGGCAATTAGTGGGAGTCAAACATCGTCAGAGAAAATAATCAAGGTAAAGAGATATATTTCAAGGTGACCAATTTTGATCTCCCACACCTGACAAGATTGGAGATTTTCTGGAAAATCTCACATTTTAGTTTCATGGCCAAACTTGGCTGCAATGCATTCCTGGCATTTTCCAACTCCTTTCAATATTACAAAACATAATTTTCTATTTTCAAGGCACAAATATACTTGGTAAATGTAAACCGCTCAAAGGAGCTTAGAATGTGCTCACATGGAGCCACACCTCTGCCCTTTACAGCCGGAACTTGAAGGGGAGGCAGAACTTCACCCCCTTAGAATTCAGCTGGGACTCTTTAATAACAAAAAGATTATCAAGAAAAAAACCAACAGAAATTTATTAACATGTCATGGAAAAATGGGAATCACAGAGACGGCTTTATAATTCCGGGTTAAATTAACGGGAAAGGGGAGGAGATGTAGGCTTCTTAGGGGAGACTGCGTGATTTTAGGAAAGATGGATGGGCCCCTAGAAGAAGAGCTGGGAAGCATGCTAGTTTGTGACAAAATTTGTCTGGGTGTGGCGTCCACTGTGGTCTCCCCTCACCTGATAAGTCCCACCTCTCTAACGTAAGAAACTCCTCGGGAGGGGCTTTATAACAATTGAGTTCCTTTTGGAGGATTTATCTTTTGGCAGATGAGGGGAGTTAAGAGAAAGCCTCTGCCTGCATTTCCTGTTTTTCAAGTGCTCACCACTCCAAATAATCCATATGCCAAAGTGGCCTATTTGGGGTGGTATATTCTGCTCCACTTCAAACTAAAGCCAGCAGCCTAGGAATGACCATATCAGACACCCATAGGAAGCGTTTATAAGAGCAATGCCTTGGAATGCTGCTTTAAGTAAGGTTTTTCTGAGCCTTGAGCTGTTTCTTCTTGAAAATACACTTCACCTCTCATTTTGTCTTTATTTTTCCTCCTCATGCCTACGCTTTTAGAGGAAAAGTCCGGTAAGAAAGAACAAGTCCTTTCCACATTTTGGCTGAACGTTATTTATTCTGTTCATTTTTATCATCTGCATGTCTAATAACTGACTGTGTTTAACACCTAAACAAGATTTTGAATTTTAAAAACAACCTTTGTGACCCAGACAGGGTCTAACTATGCCCCATGGGAAAAAGGAAGTGGGTTGCTAAGTGGTTTTACAAGCCTGTTATTAAGGGCTGCAGGGTAAGTTTGCGAAGATTCACCTCTGCCTCCATCGCAGGCATAAGATCAAATATTTTAGTTTCGTTGATTGCAACTTCCACTCGGATTAGCCAAGCTACGTATACATACCATGAGCTAGGCAAACATTTTTTTAAGTTAATTTTTTGTTTAACGTACAACATGATAGCATCCATCCTGAATGAATGCTCACGAAGCTGGCCTAGAAGAGGGAAGTTGTCTTTTCTTTTCAGTTAGTCAGCAAAATATCCCCTTCTGGAGTTGTCAGAGACAGAAAAAGAGGATCTCTATAAAGTGCAAATCACTTCTTTCGTGGTCCTTTTTAGTACCAGTGGGGGATTTTTAGTGGCGAAACAAATCTGATATGATGCACCTACATCTTTTTTATTTTAGAGCAACAATGAAGCAGATCTACTAAAAAAAAAAAAATTCAATGTTCTCTTCTCAGCTGCCTGGTTTATTGGGAACATGTTCCCAGGATGCCTCTGCATGGCTGACGCAGGTGACCTCTCCACTACAAAATATGAAAATATTGTGTTTCCATGTTAGTAAGCACCGAGAAGTGGTTGGTTGGTTAGTTGATTCTATTTAACTCACCTACGTGGATGCTGTAGCAAGTGCTATAGCCTCTCATCTGCCCATTGACCCAGACCTGGCCGTCTCTGTGCCATGTGCAGGTATCCCACACTTGTAGCAAGTCCAAGTGCAGGAGGTGTGAAAGACATAGGAAGGACAAAAAATGGGGTCAGATTAGGTCAATTTATCAAAATGTGGACCCAATGTCTTTTTGTTTCCAAAAATAAAATAAGCACCTATTATTATTACTACTACTACACTAAATGGCCCACTTCTGAGTAAATGAGAGTCAACTATGTATCACATGCTATGTCGCATGCAATATTGTTGGTGTGAGTTAGCAGCCTTTGTTTATTTTTTGCCGATTTTATTTATTCTCCTTGACCCTGAATCTTTCTCTAAATTATACAAATTTGGCCACTTCAAATATTGACTAGACTATGGGGCCTAAAGTTTAGCCATGGTGCTTTAAAAATTCTCTGTTCCTCTTTGGTTTTCCTCCTGCGGTCCTTCTAGCAATGTTAACTGCAGGTCCTCCTTTTCATTTTTAGTTGTATGACTTTCAGCATGAGTCCTCATCCCACTCCCTTGCCTCACTTTTCTTTGGAAATGTCCATCTTGTTGATTGCTCAACCTGGTCACCTCTCAATGATATCTTGGTTAGTAACAGGCTCTTTTTCCCTCTTCCCACATGGAGTTTCAGAAGATCATCTCAACCAAGTCCTATTGGATGTGATAGGTATTCACTGTAACCTGACTTGTGATACATATAGGAACAAATTTAAATATAGATGAACATCTATGATAAGGAGGGCAAATAAGTGCTTGCTAGATAGTCTTCACCCTAAAGCATTTAAAAGCAAATAAGAATATTGGCTTCGATCATAATAATAATAATCATATATTCTAATTTTTTCGTAGAAAATTCTCTAACATGAATCACTGAATTTGCTATGACTAGACTGTATAAAAATAATATTTGTTTGGTGCTTTGTAGCTTTTCACACATTTTCCTCTGTTTCCCCATAGCTCTGAATTTAGCAAATGAGGATGTTATAAAGCTTCAAAACCTGAGGCTGGTTATTTAGTGATTTTGACGAGCAAGACAGATTTTGTTTGGTTACTTCTTTTTATAAATATATTAAAACACTCGTATTGGCTAAGACTAAGGTATCCTAGTTAGCTGAATTTAAATTAATCCTTTTGTGCAAAAAATAACAAAACAAAGCTAGTGGGGAGTAAAGACCCTGTGGGCCTATGAGGATATAATCTGAAGTGTTTTTTTTTAGGGAGGCATATTCATATTCCAAATTATATGAATTTTAAAAATATAACATGTTCTAACTGAAGATCTTCATTCTAGTGATCAAATCATAAATTAATAGTATATACCCACTTTGAAAATAGGCTCAAAATACAAAGTAAGAGTTATCTCTAAGTTGAACACCAAAATGAAGTGTTTTTCAGAACCTTCTCCAGAATGCTTCAGAAGATCAAGAGAAATCTAGGTACTGAACAATTAATGTTTAATTAGGCACACAAGACGTTTGTTCAGAAAGCAAATACAGCAATTTTGAAGTCCCCATTTGAGTAATCAGGTGAAGTAATAATAGCAGATAAAATTGACTGAGAGCTTATTACGTGTGATACAGACGCCTGCAATCAGAGACAAATTGGCCACCTGCATATTCTGAACAACTGAGTAGGTGTTTTGGTTTTTGTGCAGTTAAAAACAATTTTAGCCTGCATTTAAAAACCAGAATATTTGAAATTACAAAAAAAAGTCGGATGTGCATCTTCTCTCGGGGGCTCTGATGATCTGGCAGCATTAGGCCCACATTCTTGCACGGCAGGCACATGTGCGCCTGAGTAGCAACCAGTTCACCGAAGCTTCGTAAAACACGTCCTCACACAGAGCACCCCTCCTTGCCCTGCATGTATTTGAGTTTGTAACTCAAATAGCATATTCAGCTTCTAGAATACATCAAGACCAGATACTGAATGAGTTTCCTTCCACCTTTGAAGCAAATTCCATATATTGGTAAAACAAAGATAGAATGCTACAGGCTTCGAAATTCTTGGGAAATGACAGGAGAAAGAGTAAAGAAATCTTTTAACAGGCAAAGACCCTCCCCTCCCAGCTGATAATGATTTTGCTGTCTTTGTTGCTCAGCAGAACCTACAGCCTGTTTATGCTCCTTAATTGTGATAATTAACATATATAAAGCTCTTCAATTCGACTTCTGGAGTTCTTTTTTTTTTTGAAGATTTCAGCGCTCTTAGGTTTTCCGAGTCTGACCTTTCCACAGCTTCTGGCTGGGTCTTCTGGATTCTGGTTAATGAGATTGTGACTAAATGAATTTGAACGGCTGTTTCTTGATGAATGCATTTTGCAAGTAAAGTTTCCAAAATGCTATCTTATGATGTTATCTTTTACTAGAAAAAAATAAAAACAGGAACTAATGATTAAAAATACAGGTTTTTGGGGGCTGGCCCGGTGGCACAAGCGGTTAAGTGAGCGCGCTCTGCTGCGGCGGCCCGGGGTTCCCGGTTCAGACCCTGGGCGCGCACCAACGCACCGCTTGTAAAGCCATGCTGTGGTGGCATCCCATATAAAGTAGAGGAAGATGGGCACGGATGTTAGCCCCGGGCCAGTCTTCCTCAGCAAAAAAGAGGAGGATTGGCATTGGATGTTAGCTCAGGACTGGTCTTCCTCACCAAAAAAAAAAAATATATATATAGATTTTTAACTCATTGGAAGTTAAGATATGACTTAACTTGGGTGGATTAATATAATTGAAGTTATTTTGAAAAGTGCTGTTCTCTATAATCTTAAATTAATAAAGCTTCTTGACTTTAAGGTTATGCCTCTGTATGGTTGCATCGGCACTTTATTTTGCATTATTTCTCATACTTTCATGCTGGGGGAACTTGTGTCACTTTTAATTCTCTCTTTGCTGTATTTTATGCTACTTTTAAGAGTGATTTTTTTGCCATGAAATCTAAGCTAAAATCATAAATTCTCACATTTCCTTCTTTAGAGAAGAACTTTGGTCATTAAAGAATTATAAAGTCTAAAGCTTCATAGAAAAGAATGTTTGAATTTCTCTCAAAACACAGTGTGAATTAGTCAGTAAAAGAATTTAAGCCCAGAAGTGCATATTCATAAGTGTTCTTTTTTTCTAATTTTATTTAAATTGCATCAACGCATATAGACAGATTTATAAGAAAGGTGGGATCAATATGGAACAGAACATGGAAAATAAGGCAAATAATAAAGTCTAAAATATTACAGGTAAAATTGACTTGAGTAAATGTGTCTAAAGTCCTAGCTACGTACAAAATTTGTCTGAGAAGTCACCATTGCCGGCTCTCTGCTTTGGGAGTACTTCAACAATGTTACTCTTGGTGTCCTAGAAAGAATGCGAGAACGGGAGACCAGAGTTGAGAATTCTGTCTCTAGTTCTACCCATTTACTAGCTGTGTGTCTCAGAGCCTCACCTTCCTTTCTGTATCATAAAGGTAGTTGGACTAGATACCTAGGGAGGCCTCCCAGGTATACAAGACTATAGGTTTCATTTCCTGTCTATATTCTAGAGAGTAGAACCATCCTCTTCATTCGAGCAACCCTCTAGACACTTTTTTTTATGCTCCTGGCCCAGATTTTGGGATTTGGCCAATACTGGGTCCCAGGTAGCCTCTGGTGAATGAACGGGTTAGCCCATATCCTGAAAGTGAAACTCTGAGCGACACCTCTGTCCCCACATACATCATGGTCACTCTTGTTACTACAGAAAAATCCTCAAGAGGGAGAGCAGTCAGAGACTGTTGGGGTAAATTGACAGCAGCCATAATCGAGGTTTGAGGAGTGAAAGAAAGAGGTCATACGTCTACTTGTTGTGTTTTGCCAGACATCATCTGGTCCACCTGTGTTCTTTCGGCGCTGGACAGTTCTCATTATGCTTGTCAGGGGCTCCTCACCTTCCCCATCACATTCCTGCCCACTGGCGGAGGCTGTTCAAGTCACCAGGCCAAAAACAGATAGTTGCCCAAAAAAGTCCTCACCAGCGCTCCTTCCCCAGATCACCAACGGGAAGAGCCAGGCGAAGAGGAGGTCTCTCTAACCCCGCACCCTGACTGTTGGAGGTTCCCCTTAGGCCTCACTATGTCTGTGGTGTTTGCTAATTCTCTGTTGTGTGCGGGAAATAGTTTCCCCTGTACTATTCTCTAAAACTCCCCTCCCCAAATAATCTGAAGAAAAGTTCCTTATGACAAGACATTAAAAGCTGTCAGTCAAGTTTTCTTGTACGTTTCTGCCTCATTCTTGTGTACACGTAACTGAAGCTAGTACTTCCCCCCTAGCAAAGCTGTTAAACCATGGAGAGATTCTCTTTCAGTTCTCCAAAACCTTCCTGTGATTTAAACAAGCCACAAACACGATGACTGCGGGTCTTCCTTTGGCCTGATTACTTGGAGCGTGTGTTGGTAGCTGTATGAAGTCTTCTATTACCCAGCCTGTTGACTGATCCATCATTCTCTGACTAGCTGTCTCTTCTCTCTTCCTTTTTGCCGATCACAGAGGCGCAGTCCGGTAAGAACTCTCAACGTTTTTACCTTAAACATGTATAGAGAAAATTGCTGCCAAGGCCAGGTGGCCAGGTTGGCTTTCTGTTAAGTTATGATAACCCAGCATGAACGAGGCAGAGGATTTAGGTTTACTGGTTGGAAGCCTCTGGTCCTATAAGTGTCAAGAGCATATTCTAGGATTATCAGAGCACTTTTCCATAACAAACTTACTAATACGTAGGAATCCCAACTCCTAGTGCTAAATTTGAAGAGAGTATGTGTGTGTGTGTGTGTGTGTGTGTGTAGATTGGCCAGAAAACACCATAGAAATTTATAGCAAAGTGATAATAAAGAATAAGAAAACTATAAAGAAATTAAGGAAACAATTTTTAAGCCATGTGGTTTTTAAGTTTGAATTCAAAATGTGTCCCTGGATGGTAACTTACGTTGGTCAGTATACACTGATACATAATAATACATGATTTCCATCTAGGGAGGAGGAGACACGTTTTCAAGTTAATACACCTAGGCTGTCACCTAATTCTAAATTTCAACCCCAAAGACAAATCAGTATTAGTTTGCATTGTTCAAAGTGAAATCTCAGTCATTTTCCTCGGGTTGAAGCATGTGATGAATTTAAAGCAACAAAAAGAAGAGTCTTTGCTATGTTTGAAATGACCCCCATCTGCCTGCTCAGTCTATTGAGATTAGAAGTGGAACTGAAAACAATCACCTCTGAAAGATCCCTAGGCCTGTGCCAATTCAATTACTCAATTATTATTTGAGGCAAGTACTCTGCCCCAGCTGCCCCGCTGGTGGTTCTCTGTTTAAACCACATAGCTGAGGGTCAAAGAAAATACCTGCAGAAACTACTGTTCAGGCGTGGATGACTCCAACCCAGCGATTAGGTGAATCTCAGATTATGACGTTACTCTTTTTTTTAAAGGAAAAAGAGTGAATTAAGTAATTCAAAATGAAGGAAATTTATTCACAATATACTCATAAGGACAATCATTGAAAGGAGGAAAATGTGGTCACTTGGTGAGGAGAAGGTTTTTGAATTCAATGGACTTTTTTCCTGACTGTGGCTTGTGTGGTCAACATCACCTTAGCCTTGTTCTAGATTTGTCACACGGCAACATCAAGGCCGTATGCTGGGTCCAGCTGACAGTGGGATTTCTTTTCTGTTGCTGCTGACTTGCTCCTGATTGTTCAAATATCTGTTCCTTTATAAATTGATATTATTTTGTGCTTCCTAATTTCTAAACAGAGTTTTCTTGCATATTTCTGCCATGTCTTGCTTGCACTTTACTGGTGATTCTTCATTCATGAGGCGTATTTAATAAAAATGTTACAGGGGCTTCTTGTTTGTTGTGCCTCTGAACAATAAATATCTATTGAATGAATCGATACCCTGGGAATCAATGAGTACAAAAGAAGCTTTGTACCTTTCTTGGTTTCATAAGTTTCATAATAAAAGGGGTAAATCAGAGAGACCGAAAGATCTTCAGTACAGCCTCTGGGGTCCCCTAACTCCTGGATTTCAGGTCTCACAATACTAGGTGCGTCCTGTTTCCTCAATGCCAATCTTGTCATTGACTTCTTGGAACTAGATCTCCTGTATCTTTTCCGTCAGACCTTATTAATAAAAATCTGATTACCTGAGGCTCCATCACCCAGAAAAACATTTTAATTCCACTTAAACAATTTGTTCTCTTATTATTTTTGTCTACAGCGTCTTATTTTCCAAAACTCAAATGATATCCAAACTCCCTTAATGACTGTAGCAAATTTAGATGACCATATTTATTTAAAATATTTATGTATTAATTTAAATATACATATGTAATTTAATTAAACATTAATTTAGTGTTTATCAAAATAAATAAATGTTGTTTATTTATTTAAAAAGTTATTGCTAATAATGTAATAATTCTCTACATGGCACACACACACAGATTGCATTATTTAGCAAGACAAATCAGAAAATATAGTTGGAGAGATTAGGCCAACCACTAGAAAACCCCTAATGGCTCCTTGCTCAGATTGAAACTGGTCGTCTATCATAAATGAGTTCAAAATGAGACAGAAAGTTCTGATGAATCCTTAGGAAAGAGGGAAAGAAGCTTCGTATAGGTCTGTTACAGAGATGCTACATCTTGTCCTGAGTTGCTAATGTTATCATTTGAGAGAAGAAAATGTATCTGTGACCATCAGATTGAGCCTTCACCAGAGTAGGAAAGTAGGAAAAAAATGTATATTTGGTGACTGTCCACCAAACTCATGGTCATACCCTTTGGAAAACTTTCTTATGCTTCCACTTTCCCCACCCCCAACTCTGCCTGTGTCACTCTCCTAAGGCGGGCTCATGGGCCATCCTTCTGGTGGTCTTCTCTTCTGGTAGCACCCCGTGCTAAAAACCTTTCATAGTGATTTTGATTCAAAACTTTAATCGATCCTTCTGTTATCGAAATAAGTTTCTGCCAGGGCATTGTAAAAACTAAGACCTTCGCAGATTATTCCTGCCAAAGCTATTTTCATTCCAGTAGTGTCACAATACCTTGAGCTAAAAGAATGACTCCCAACTGGTAGATTGGTGGGCTGAGTAGCAGGCAAGCGGAAGAAATTGGGGTGTGGAGGATCGGTGGGGAGGATGAAATTCCCTGGCTCCCTGAATAAAACAGCCCATTCAGTGGCAATGCCTCCACCTTTTCCTTCTCTTTAATATTTGCCACTTATATCTTTAAAAATACATTAGTAAACTAACGACTGTTTCTACTAACAACTTAGGGACCCCATCTGATAAGAGCATACAGTACTCCTAATACATTATATAATTTTCAAACATCAAATGTAAGCTAAACTTAAATTTACTTTCTTGTCTGCTAGACTTCAAGAGTTTTTCCTTTTTAATAGACTATTCAGTATTTACTTTAATTTACCAAATCTACCCAGGTAAGGAGTATTTCTGGTTCAGAAGACTTATGATTTACCCTCCATTCCTCTCTATAATCTTTGAGTAAAATAAAAAATAGATTTATATGTGTGTATCTACAATATCCAACTTGAATGCAATTCTGAGAAAAATTTCATTTTTCCCATCTGCATTTCTTTGAGTTCAGTTTCATTGCAATGACAGAAATATACATATTGTACATATAACATATATGTGGTCTTAAACCTTATAGTCTCTATTTCTAATTCTAGGGTGCAATTAAAAGGAACTTATCCAGTAAGTATTTCCTAGCTACCAGAACTAGAGTCCGATTTAAAAGAAGGACTAGTCCCTTGGATCTTGGAGCATATATACATTTGAATTATACACTCTTGGGCTTGATTTTTAAGGCTTACAAATGTTTTATTTTCACAGCAAAGAAATCTTGTAATGTTAAAGGGGCTCTGTGGTTTCTGAATGATTAATGTTTAAATTCTGAAAATGAGTGTTTTTAGAAAAACATTGCTATTTTCTTCCTATATTTGTCAACTCTTGCTGTATCATTTGACTTTAGAAATGAATTTAATCAAATATGTGTTTGTTGATGGGGATGAGGAGAGGAAGAGGGCAGAAGGAAGTGAAGGTAGATGCAACTTACTCATTCTTGTGTTATTTGATATGGAAATTTTAGTCAACCAAAGTGATATGATATAGGTTATAATATACAGAGGGCATGATTTTCCTCTGCTGCATACAACACATTCTAGGGAGTTCTAAATTCATGGCTCATAGTTAAAGGTATAACATTCTCTTGGCATTTCAAGAAAAGAACAGGCAGAGAATGCTGGATTCATGTACTATGTGCATATGGCCTGGCTTAGTATTCTCTTATGGTAATTAGGAAGCAGAACTGATCAAGACAGCAGACATTCGAAGAATGATATGCCATTCCACTTAGCTCTGCAGTATGCAAATCTTCTGACAACTTATCATGGTAGTTCCTTGGCTAATTAGGTTTTAAAAATGCCAGGGAAAATGCTACTACATATGCCTAATATATGGCTTTTGCATTGCCAGGGGAGAGGGTTTGTTTTGCAAAGTTTTCATATTGAGTTGCTTATTGATGGGACTTAAATCTCTAAGTGTTTCCAAACATAGCTCATAAGACATGTCAGAAGTGAATGGCAAAAATGTGCCTAAAAAGTTCCTTTGTCCTGTGCATCAGGTGAAGAAGTGGCAAGACCCAGGCGTTCCACACCAACTCCAGAACTTATAAGGTGAGCATGAACACAACATGAGTTGTGTTTTATGCAAGGCATCACACACTGTTAACAATTAAGCAAATCTTCTTCAGGCTAAGCTCTCAGCTTCTGTTAATAAAGGACCTGTTCATATGTGTACGTCCATAGATGGTTCAAATATGTTCTCATTTCTTGTAAGTGCAGCCTGAGCAAGACTTTAGGCAAGTGCCGTGTCGTCTTGAGTAACTGTCTATCACAATGTGCAGTCTCCTCACTAATGAGAGCTGAAAGTTCTCCATGCAGAGGTCTTTTGGTGTCTGGAATGCTGACCTAAAATATAATTACGTTGCCCTGTGGAGAGTAGCCTGTTGGATATAACTTTGTGATACATTCCACCTGCTACACCAAGGGAATCTTCTATTTTGTTTTTAGCAAAACATTGTATTTGACATGTGTATTCTTTGAGTTAAGTAAACATTCTACTAAAGGGCATTGTTTTCCAAAACGACTGCTGTTTCTATTTACGAGGTAGAGCCTTTTAATTTTCCCTCCTTCTCCAACTCCTCCATCTCCTCTTCATCTCTTCCCTCACACCACGCATGTCTTATTCAAACACACACTTCCTGGGTGGCTTGTCACTTAACCTCCCTATGCCTGTCTTTCACTAATGAAAAACTGCAGTAACGACAACACAAAGATGTGGTGAAGACACATATAGGTGGTTTTTGAGATCTTAAGAGAGTAAGGGGCTTTGCAACCAGATGTTATCTCTAGGGTTATCTCTTCTAGGTAGAGAGAATCATGATGCTTCAAGGAGTTTCTCTCCTTCAACTTATTTCTGTCAGACCAGCACCTTGTTCCCCCATTGGGAACCAGGGATCTCATCTCCTACCAATTCTTTTGTCCATAATATACATGACATCCTTTTATATACTTCCTAGCCCTGCGGGAGCTTGTGTGAATACATATGTACACACACAAGTGCACACACATACATCTACCTTACTGTGAAAAGTATTTGAAAGCTGGCGTATCTTTTTTAGCATTAATATGCCCTTTCTCTATGTTTTGTTTTAATGTGTGTTGTCTAGCAAAAAACCTCCCGATGACACTGTGGCCTTTGCTCCCCTCTTTGGCCCACCACTAGAATCAGCTTTTGATGAACAGAAGACGGAAGGTAAGAAAAACTCTGTATATCTATAGATTTGTTTTTCTTTTCATTAAAGTATAATGTGCCTAGAGTAAATGTATGTATTTTGAGGCATATTTTTATTTTATCATCAGATCCTCAGGTGAAAAAAAATTTTGATCTAGGTATGTCATCAGCACAGGAGTTTGGTTTGCAAACCTCTAGTATTTTAGGATTTGAAACTTTATTTCTAGAAATGTCTAATGGCTAACAAGTGCATTCCTCAAAAGAGGTCAGTAAGAATTACTGCAAATCTATACAAATCACTGGTCAGAGAGTAAGTGCCCTGTGAGCCAAACAGCCATCATTGTGAAGCCAGACCTTCAAACTCCCATCGTAGTCATTGTCATTGTGACCCAGCCTCTCTGCCCACATTTACTCTCTTGTCCGCCTCATCAGTGGAGGTGTCAATTGGATTCCTCACATAACAGACATTGTTTGCAGGTTCAAGACCCAGGAATGACCTGGAATCATTTAGCATCTAAGAAATAAAATGTGATGGGAGAAATATAATTTCAGCCATTATTGTTGGATTTACCTATTAAATATTCCTAGAATTAAATATGTAACTTTTTAAAATTAACCATCTTTTTTGGAATGGCTGTAAATAATATATACCTTGCTGACATAAATGAAACTCTTTATAAAATAAATCTAATCTATTCCTGAAATGTAGTTATGACCAATGCATGTATCTCCAATAGCTGTATTTGGTAATATGGAATGTTTTTATAAAAATCATTTGATTTATGAACACTATGGTGTATATGTATAATAAAATGTTATTTTTGTAGGACCCATTTGTGAAGGAAATTAAATTTAGTGTTAAGGACAACAAGACTTGAAAGCATGAGTAGGCTGAGCACAGTAGCAAAGAGACTCCAAAGTACAGTGAATTAAATAAGATAGAGTTTTGTTTCTGTTTCGTGTTAACAGTCTCAAAGTAAACAGTGTAGGACTGGAAGGTGGCTCTGCTCTCCTCAACACGTGGCCTTCATCTCCGGGTTCCAGGGGGCTGCTCCAGCTCTCGTCATCTCCCAGTCAGAAGAAAGGAGGGTGGAGGGAAGGGCCAATGGAACTCACTGCCAATTCTTACAAGAGCAAAATCTGGGAGAGACACACATCACTTCCAACGAGCCCACCGGAGAGAATTTAGTGCCATGTGGCCGGCTAAAACGCTTCAACTATAGAAGAAGCGGAGAATGGGTGCAGGGAGACAGCTAGCAGTCAGCCACATCTGAATATTTTTCAGCGATGCAGTTAGGAAAATGTGTAAGGAATATCTCCGAATACACCTTCAGTGATTTAAATGTCTACAACTTAGAATCTCTGTGTAAAGGTGGCCTTGCGATGAGGTCATCTGTTGTCTTATTAAATCACCTGTGATCAGTCTCGCTTTTAATGATATAACTGCATAGTGACTGAATGTGGGATTTGATTTGTTGCATTTGAAACTGCCCATTAAAGGAATTCCATAACTGTATGGAAACTTGATATACAAAATAGAAAACAGTTCTTAAAATCAAGGTGGTGTCCTGCATTGAATCCATGAAAAAGAAAAAGTGCTGCTTCACATCTTTGGAGAATGTTTGCTTTTAAGTTAAAACAAAACAAAGCTATGACATCTTTGAGGTTTGTGATGGAGAGGAGATGCACACCTGGACTTGTCAATGAGCCCAGCGTCATGGTGCTTTAGATGGTTTCAGCCCCTGAAGTCCTAAAAGTTCCAACATCTGCACCAAGCACACTAGCTCTTCCAACACCCACACTCCCCTTTCACATCTGCTCACTCTCACTTCTTTTGATTGATTCTTCTGTCACTAGTTTAAAAGGCCTGGGAAAAAATATGCATTTTGGAGTCAGGTATGTGTACTGGGATCAGATCTTAGCTACTTAGTAGAGCGACTTAGCTCTGCTTTCACTGTGTGTGCCCTTGGGCAAGTTATTTAACCACTCTAATCTTCGGTTTCCTCTCCTGAAAATGCTACCAATATCAACCACATAGAATAGCTACTGGCCTTGTATTGTGTTTTATATGCATTTTACATACATTATATTTATATACATTACCTCCTTTAATCCTTTTGGTGACTCTCTGAGATTGCTCTCATTATCATTACACTGAAGGAAGGGAAGCTCAGAGATTAAATGACTTGCCCAAGGTCCTACAGGAAGTGTGGAGGCTGGAGTCACACCCACATCAGACTAACTTGCCAGCCTGTGTTTTACAACATAATGAATTACAAGCAGCGCTTACATAGACCCTGGCATGTGATAGGTGCAGATAAGAGCTAGGTCACTACATTGTTACCATAGCAATAAAAAATCAAGAGGAGGAGACAAAAGAAAGAGAAGGAACTTTAGATTCAGTGTCCTTAGGCCCAATACCTGATTGCCCTGATTTCCGTTAGACGTCTAAGCACTTGTTTATTTTTCTGGTTCTCTTAAGATATTCACCAAACATTCTTAGAATGTTCTCTTTATGATGCTATAAAAGCTTTATTTAAAGACTCTATAAGATCCTTTAAAGATAGGAACCACTGTACAGAACCCGGGCATTTACATTTTAAAGCATATTCATGGCAAACTTTAAATAAATCAACTTAAAACAAATGTGTATGGGATTAATGCCTGGATTTTCAAATGATGCCAGAAAAGGAGCCAGGACATGTAGTGACCTTCAGAATGTCCTTAAGTGACCAACCGGGAAGAAAATGCAGACACTCTGCTTTGAAAGCTTTGTTTAGCTGTATGTGCACACACAGACACCCCCCTGACACACACACACACATACACACACACACCAACTCCTGTTCCATTCTCTGCTTGAAAAGGATGAGGAGCAGCACGTTCCTAAATTAATTTGCTGGTACTGAGGCAAGAGGGAAATAATTTTGTGAAGTTCAACTTTAAATTGAGATTTTAAGTTCTAAAATGGGGGTGTTTCTTTTTTGAACTTACCCTGGGAAATTTTCTTTTTGTGTTTCCAGTTCTTTTAGATCAGCCTGAGATATGGGGTTCAGGCCAACCAATTAATCCAAGCATCGAGTCGCCAAAGTTAACAAGGCCCTTTCCCACTGGAAGTAAGTTATGTGTCTGCTCTGTCTGGAAAAATAAGTGACTCATTTTACTGTCTGTCTGCATAGTGAAATTAGGCAACTCTTAGAAAGTCTATGCAAGCAACATGTGGACTGTATAATATTAAGAATAGATGTTATCCTAACAGGCTTTAGAGTTAAAGGGGCCTAGGGCAGTTTGTCAAGGCAGACAAATAAAGCAAAATTATTAACTTTGAATTGTAGCCTCCTCTGACATCCTACAGGCTCACTCATTCATTCATTCATTCATTCATTCATTTGACCCGTACATGTAAGAGTGAGAAGCAAGTGAGCTAAAGAACCTACTATGCTCCAGGGTGGGCTGTTACACAACACACAGGTGGCCAAGTCAGATATGGTCTCTGCTAGTCTGCACAACAACTGAGGCTGCTTAGGATAGAAAGGACACATTGAGAGGAAAGAATGATAATTGAAGAGCAAGAGAAACAACCCTGTGTGGTGGAGAGAAGCTGAGACAGGAGATCAGGGCAAATTTATCTCCAAGCAGAGCCATCAGCCCTGCATATTCTGGCATGCCCTCTCCCCCACTCCAGGTGGCGGGAAAGGAGGTCCTGAAGCTCTTTACAGCCCTTCACCTGCAGTGGGCTGGCCTATTTGGACTGGATGGATTGCTCACTCAGTAGGACCACTTGTTTGACAGATTTACGGAGTTGTCATTTCAGTAGGCTTCCCATAGCAGATGCGCATGTAGAAAGCACTCCTTAAAACGCCCATGTGAGGAGGGTAGGATCTCAGAGAAAAGGTTTGGAGGTGGGTGGTGCACCCAGAGAGTCTTTTCACTTCATGAGGTTCACATACAGACCACTTAATACTTTTTCCGTTTCAGCATCCCCAAGGCTCTGCTTCTTAGTCTTAAAAATGCTCATGGGGCTTCCTAATCAAAGGCCCAAGGGTTATTTGTTGGGAATATTGCTATAAAGCCAGGCGATCCAGTCTTTACAAGGATATTTCCTTCATATAACAGATAAGAAAAACAGCATTATCAAGAACTTTTAAAAATTTTCTGAACTTTCAAAGATAAGTTTTGAAAGGATTTGAACCCCAGCGGCGTGATTTTGAACATTTCTCCATGCTGCTGGGAAACAAAGCCAGTAAAAAAGCTCTTTCTTTGAAAAGCTTTCTTTACAGATCTGAGCTATCCGAATTATTCCTAGAAAACCCTTCCTAAAGGCCAGGAAAATACATAAATGAAATGTTTATGTAGATTATGTATTGATTTTAAGTCCAACTGTTGGTATTTTAGAATTTTATGAGTTTTATGTGCTCTGTTTACACCTAACACAACAGAGGCTGTTGTATAATTGATGTGTGTTGTGTAATTCTGCTCATTTCATGGTTGCAGCATAAGTTGACTATTTTAAGTTATTAGACTTTTATTTTATTTGTTTTTGTGATATTTTGTTGATTATGATCTCAATTTTTGCAGAGATCCTTAATCAGAAACAGTGCCCCTGGTTGACTCTTAACTTCAGTGGGAAAACATGATCCATTTGAGGTGTAGTTTTCAAAGTTCTTAACTAAGATTAGGAACAACGTGTCCATGGGCTTCAGGATGATGCCTGTTACCCGTGCCTGTTAGCCGTGCCTGTTGTGTGGAAGGATAGGATGCTCTCTAAAAATAAATAAATAGAGTTGGGTGGGGGAGGAAGGACAGAAGGGGCTCTTTCTCCTGCAGGCAGGTGGAGGGTACTGGCAGGAGCTCTCCAGCTGGTGCCCTGCTGACTTGCTCTGCTTTTAGGTTACGTAAGACTGGGCCTCATTCAGACTCACAGATGAACTTGGGGCTGGTTTAGGAGATTAGTGTGAACTCTTCGAATATACCAAATATGGCCAGTGACAAGAAGACATTCATTTAAAGAAAGAAAAAGAAAAAAATGTACCTGTTGAAACAGGAATTCCTAACTTTGCCCACAAAATGACAAGTCCAGTTTGTAAGAATGAGTCTCTGGGTGGGGGCTATAATACGATACTTTTTCTATCTCAGAGATTTTTTTTTAGCCATTATTTTTACCAAAGGAATCTGTTCATTCTTCTTGACCTAAATCATTTTGCTTCAGACTTTCAAGAATGTACTAAAATTTAAGACATATAACTTTGAGAAATCTTTCCAGACCCAATCCAGGCAATAATATCCTGACTATATTAAAAACCCCTCACCTGAGCCCCCACCCAAGCTGTTCTCATTTCCTCGAACAGACTCTGGACTGTAACTGAACATGATATTCTTTCATTCAGTCCATTCCTCAAGAGCAGAGGGTCCTTTTATTAAATACTGTGTCCCTGGTTCCTAGTATGGGATGGAGACTTAGTTGGCACTTGAGGTTTGTCAAATAAAGGAATGAATGAATAAGATGATGACATTATTATTGTTATTATATGACATTCTTTTGACAAATTCTTATCACTACCATAAAATGGAAGAATCTGAATGAGTCCTGCTGCAGTCCCTTAGTTCTGAACTTAAAAACAAAATTAGACCATTAATGGCTATTCTGTTTCCAATAGTAGGAATATGAATGAAAGCCCAAATTCTGCTTGTCTACAGAGTATTGTTTAACTTAGGGAAAAAGTGATCGATAATGCTTGCCTTCTCATCTCTTTGCAGCACCTCCACCACTGCCTCCAAAAAATGTACCAGCCACCCCACCCCGAACAGGCTCCCCCTTAACAGTTGGACCAGGTAAGCGTTAGTTTTCTGTGCTCTGGGATCATGTGGCAATCAGCAGTGGCCCTGGACCTCAACACGCCCTGGACATGTCAGAAGCTGTAGGCCAGACTAAACATGACAATGTTTGCATTCAGTTTTACTTCCATTACAATTTACTATGCAGACTTCTTTTAAGGTATCACTCCCAGATTTCATGAAAAGGTTCACTTTCTCAACTAATTTTGTATAATTTTGTTGAATGAGGGCCACATTTACTTGTGAAATGAAAGGAAAAAAAATCTCAGTATAAAGAAAATCATTGTTTAATTGACATGTCTCTTCATTGGATCTCATTTTAATGATTTACAAATTAAAAGTCTCAAGGCACAATTCATATTTTTCCAAGAACAGATAATTTTTTTTCTAGAATTAAAACTGTCTAGTCTATGAAGCCATAAAATGGTTCCCAGAAAGTGCAGCATATGGGTAAGCTTGAGTGGTGGGGAATTTTTTCCCCAGTAATCATTAAAGTGTTTATTATCCCATGGCAAAGAGATGTGTAAAGATGATGAAATACACATGCCATTAGATAGATAATTTCTAAGGCACATCTTTACTTTCTATTAAAATCAATACTATGAATTCATACAATTTATACTCTGCCTAGTCTCATTGGGCTAGCAAGTCAAAGGCAGTAATTGTTATTTTGTGTGTCTGGGCCCTTAGAATGTGGTTCTTTATCACCTTTGGAATTCTACTGCAGCTTCATCCATTGCTATTTATGCAGCCTGGTGAGTTTGATAGCTACGTAGTGGAGAATTTATCAACAAGAGCAAATGCAAGACATAGTCAGTTTGACTCAGACCCACGGAGAGTCATCCAGAGTGTCATAGATAAAGGTGTTTGCAAGTTCAAACCATTCTGGCCCCTTGTAGTTCCATAAATATGTTAGATATAAATAAATTTACCAGCGACAAAATTATAAATACTGTGGGACATGCAAACTGCCACCCCATTTATCTGTAGCCTTGAAGGGTAACTCTTCTCAAGTGTGAAATATGGCTTCTTATAGCCGAAGGGTTATTTAAGGTAAGGTGGCTTCTGCTCATGCCTTGCAATTATTTAGGTAACAATTTCTAATTTGAATAACCTCAGTTAAAAAACAGTGCTCTCCCTCACACTGCAGCTGTCATCAAGTGCTTCCTGCCAAGCTGTAGAAGATAGTTTTCCTTTTTTTTCTAGTTACTGATAAGAATTAAAAAGAATTAGCTGGTGCTAATGTTTAAGCAAAGCAGAGACTTTTCTGTTTCATGAGACTTCAGGAGATAAGTACATGTCATAGTTATGCCTACCACATTAACAGGTTAGACCTGACGAGAAAAGAAATTATAAATTACAAATTATATTTATAGTTTTCTTCCCTATTAAACAGGTATATATGTAACAGTTCTAATAAGTAGTAAATGTCTTCTCAATAACCTATGTGTATGTTGCTTGTGGGGTGTGTATGTGTGTGTTTGTAAATAGACGTGTGGGGATATCTCTTTAAATAATCCCTGTACTCTGTTTCTGGTGTGTTTAGAGTGGAGGATATACGGCTGATTATGATGTGATCATTTTTTAAACTAACAGATATTATAATCAGTTTCACTGAACATTTTCATTTAATATGATGGAGTAGACAGTCTTTATCCAATATGAGGGAGAGTTCCAGCTGTCAATCCTTTCTCGAATGTGTCATGTGTATTTCAGTAGGCCAGATTTTCAAGAGGGATTTCCCTTCTGGAATTCGCAGTTCCAGAACGTATGCTTCTCTGTGCACCTGACTCTGCCTTCCCAACATGAGCCCACTTCGCACTCTTCTGAGCAGCCTTTGAGAGCATGCTCCTCGCTTCTGATGACGGTAGAAGTAGCTAACAGTGGTCACCCTGCACAAGGGTAAACGACAGCATAAAAAGATGAAGCTCACGTTATGGAGGCAGGGAACTCTCCCCTCTCGTTCAGCTCCAAATCCAGTCAAGATAGTTTGACATCATACAGTATGCCCACTAAGGCACCTCACCAGGCAATCTATCTACCAGGCTTTGCCTCACCACTCCCAATACCCCCCCCCCAAAAAAAAAATATTAACAAAGTCAATTAAAGCTTAAAATCAACTACTTTAACCACAGGAAATGACCAGTCAGCCACAGAGGTCAAAATTGAAAAGCTACCATCAATCAATGACTTGGACAGCATTTTTGGTCCAGTGTTGTCCCCCAAGTCTGTTTCTGTCAATGCTGAAGAAAAGTGGGTGCATTTTTCTGATACGTCCCCGGAAAATGTTACTCCAGAGTTGACTCCAAGGGAAAAGGTGGTGTCCCCACCAGCTGCATCAGACAACCCAGCTGACTCCCCAGCTCCGGGCCCTCCAGGTCCTCCAGGCCCCCCAGGACCTCCTGGTCCTCCTCGCAATGTACCATCGCCGCTCAATTTAGAAGAAGTCCAGAAGAAAGTCGCTGAGCAGACCTTCATTAAAGATGATTACTTAGAAACAATCTCGTCTCCTAAAGATTTTGGGTTGGGACAGAGAGCAACTCCGCCTCCCCCGCCACCACCCACCTACAGGACTGTGGTTTCATCCCCCGGACCTGGCTCAGGCAGTGGTACGGGGACCACCAGCGGTATGTCTTACTGTTTGAGTGTGCTTCGTGTGACCGGGAATGGCCGTGGCTGCTGCAGTGTGAGCAACACCCTCCTCCTGCCTGGCAGTTGGCTTTAGAGCTTCAGCCATCCTTCCTCTGGTTTGGGTGTCCTGTGGCCCCGTGGCATGCCCTAGTCCCTCAAATGCTCGCAGTCATGGTGCAAGTCTGTGGATGTGTTCTGCCTCACACTCCCAGCCCTTAGGAGTGCCCTGCCTTCCACCCTGCAGTTAGGAAATGCACATTTCTTGAAGAAAGCTGTGATGTCATTGTTTGGAATTCAGGAAAGTTCTAGAAAGACAGGTTTCATAGCGAATGAGTTTCATGTTAAATGTCTGATTTTCTTGTCAGATGCCTTCACAAGGGCCCTAGTTTGGGTTTTTTTGTTTTTTTTTCCCCCAGCTTTATTGAGGTATAATTGACAAATAAAATTGTAAGATATTTAAAGTGTACAACGTGATGATTTGATATATGTACACATTGTGAAAGGAGTCCTCCCATCGAATTGATTAACAGATCCATCACCTCACATAATTACCCTTTACCCTTGTTTGTCGTTTTTTTTTTTGCTGAGAAAATTTAAGTTCTACTTTCTTAGCAAATTTCAATCACACAATACAGTATTATCAACTATAGTCACCATGTTATACATTAGATCCTCAGACCTTATTCATCTTATAACTGTGTTTGTACTTTTTTTTTCAAGAGCCCTAGTTTTTGTAGGTCAATATTTTCTGTTTTTTTTTTCTTTTTCTTTTGGGGGCGAAGCATATTAACCCCTCTAACTACTTCAGGAAAAAAGAGGTGGAGTTTGAAAAGGAGATTTTAGAGGATGGCCAGAAAAAGGATGCCTTACTGCATCCCCAACCTAATCAGCCGCTGAAGACAAGCTGTTCTCTGATTTCATTTCACATGCTCATCAGCCTAGGAGGTCAACTCTAAGTGGAGTGACAGGAGATGGGAAAGTCTATCAGAAATGTACGTTTGGGGACTCTATATACAAATGTTGACATTGAATCTGATTTTTTGGTTTTCCACGTTTGAAGCTTCATTTTGTGTTCTCTAATTATGAAGGGAATGCCTGCCGTGCATACCAAAGGAAGATCGAGATTTTTCTAATGCATCTTCTTCCATACTGTCGATTCCACTGGTACTCGAGCTTGTCTGGCAAGACCCCCAGTGCCTTTTCTCCTATGCCTGTGGGTTCAGTAGGCACCTTCCCAGGGCCGTCATGTGCTATTTGTTTTCCATTTGCCTCTCTCTTTGGAGAGAGATGTCCAAGTGTAAGTTATTTAGACCTGGGAAGAGACAGACAGGCAAGGCGTTTCTCTCTTCTGATAGTCAGTCATCACTGCTGCCCCTGTCAGGGCGTGTCTCTCAGTGCCTGCTCTGTGTTTACAAATTCCTCTGTGCCTTAAAGGGGGAGCGTCCAAGCTGATCAAGGAGAGGGCTGGGGATTCACTGGTACCACACACAACACCGATGTTTTATATCATTAGATGTGCCCCCCTGTGCCTTCCTCCAACACAAAAGGAAAACTGTTCAATACTCAAAGAAGTCTGGGAAAGGTTGTGTTAAAACAAACTCAGCAGGCTTCTTTTCCATAGGCCCACTGAGAGCCTTTATTTTGCCAATAATAACAATAGCTAGAGTTTCTCATCCTGGCATCATGCTAAGTGCTTTATCATTCATCCTCACAACAACCCCACGTGGTCATACTCTTATTTCCTGCATTTTATAGGTGGGAAAACTGAGGCTCGGAGGTTTAAGTATTTTGCCCAAGTTTACACAGCTAGAGGTGATAGACTTGGGATTCATACTCAGCTCTGTCTGATCCCAAGCCTGTGTTTTTAACCACTGTGCTCTCCGAGCACTCTTATAAGGTTTAGTTACAAAATATCCCAAACTTATTTGATGACTGACACCCATCTATACTGCACAGCATCATCAACAAGATCCCCCAAAAAAAGTCCTCTCTCCAAACCTACTCCTCTGTGCTCCTTTCTGTAGAGGACCACCTCCATCCTCTACTGCTTTTTTAGGTCTTTTTGAGGATATAAGGCTCCTTACTCACCTGATAATAAGATAATAAAGGGCCCTATAGAAAGCCTTCAGTTCAGACCTCAAACCCAAAGAAGCTGGTTGTCCATTGTCAAAGAGGGGCGTCTTTCCCTTGTCTTCTGTGGGACTCTTTCCTGGGCCAGGCTCTGAGCCTTCTGGAATAATGCCCTGTCTCCAGTGGCAGGCCACTACGATATCCTCAAAAGAAACACCTTGAGGGAGGAGGACAGGGCAGCTTGGTTATCATCTGGGCCTCCATCGCCTTCCACAAGGCTCTGGGAGGTGTTAGTATAATCTAATTGACCGTTGATCTAATGAGCGAAGAGAGGAGCTTTGGCTTTCTTTCTGGAATCTTTGAGAATTTTGTTGTTGTTTTAATGTTTAACTTCCGTACCCTTATTTGAAATTACTTTAAAATGTATCCAGTAAAGACTATTGATTCTTAATAATTGAGCTGGAGAAAACTACACTTTGTTGGCATTAAAGGATTGAATTTCTAAGTGGAAGATTGAACTGGGCCAATGAAGCTCATGAATAAATAAAACTTTGCACCATTTTCTCCTTAATTAAGTCCCAGTTTATTTGCTGCTTAATCTTTTGTTGATGGAATATACGCAGACTGGCAGAAATGTAAATTTAGGATTAAAACAATAAGATATGGCCTCATATTTTAAAGATTAGCAATACTTCTCACTACCTGCTTTACTAACACTTAGCCTGACAGGACTAACTTTTCCCGTACTTCTCAAACAATATTTAAGTGGCTACCATTATGCGTACTTTAAAATCTCATTCACAGCAAGGTGACTGTCACTGACCAAGTTTAGACAGTACTCATGGCCTTGTGAATCAGAAGAGTCACCTGCTATTGAAAAACAGTTGGAAGTTATGCATTTGCTCCCAGAACTTTAATTTCCTTACGGCAAAAGTTAAAAATACGAAGTTTGGCCAGAACGTGGCTTTACTGGAACACAGACACTGGTTCCTGGCAAAGGCTCTCTCTTCTCCCATGTGGGTTGTGTGCCCAGGGGATGGGATGGAGAAATTGTTTTATTGGCCTACAGCAAGTTTGGAGGCTGGGAAAAGGGAGGTGTTAGCAAAGATAGACTCTTCAGCACAACATTTTCTAACTTGGGTAACTAAAGCCATATTAAAAGATGTTAAACACAAACAGACACGCACACACATCCATAAACAAGTAAGTCTGAGCTACATGGGGTTGAATTAAACAAATATATTTCTTGATTACAAATCTTTTTAAAGCGACAGTGTCCAATATGGAAGCTGCTAGCCACATGTGGCTATTTTAATCTTAACTGTAAGTAATTAAAATTAAAAGAAAAAATCAATTCTTTAGATGCAGTAGCCACAATTCAATGTTGGACAGCACTTGTTCTAGAATATTTTCATCATTGCAGAAAGCTCTATTGGACAGGACCGTTTTAGGGCTTTTAATGTGCTGGTCACCAAAAAGGAAACATAGTGTGTAACCATTTCCACACATATTTAACACTTTCTTCAAAGAAATGGTATAATTAAACACGATTTGGGAAAGGCTGTTTAATTCTTTACATATTTCGAAGTGCATATATTTTAATTCATTTGATCCTCCTCACAACATCGTGGTGTGTTAGCCTCATTTTACAGGTTAGGAAATGGAAGCTCAAAGATGGAACCTGGCCACGGTCACAAAGCCAATAAGTAGCAAAGCCAGGATCTGCCCCCAGATCTGTTGCATTCCGTTTACCTTCTCCCCAGCTGCCCTCCAATTCCCCCCACCCACACCCACGCAAAAAGAGAGATGAAACCTGAAGCCCTAGTTATGTGGTTCTCAGGGGTTTTTGCCAAAGAAACTATGATGGAACTTCAGGTTGAGAGCAGCAAATGGATTGAGAGCACATCAGCGGTTGCCAACTCTTTTGAACTCACAAAACTCAAATAATGTAAGAGTGATTTTTAAATCTTACCATTAAACCTTAAATGGTGATTTTCTCCAATTATTTTCCAGCATTGTTCTTGGGAATAAACACTGCTTGAAGGGAAATGAAAGTATAATTGAAGATCGAAGAATGAGGATAGAGATGCATAAATAATAACCTTCTACACTCTTACAATAGGAAACAATTGTGCAATCTCACAAAAGCATGTGAAGCCTTAGTTCAGTTATCACTTACCCTTCAGGCCCTGAACACCCTCTGCTGACCCTCAGGGTTCTGTCAAGCAGGATTTTGCTTCTTAAACACTCCCTTAGTGTCTCTCTAACTGCACAACAAATCAATTGAATCAATTCAGTAAGGAAAAAGTGAGTTAAATGGGATGTCCATAAAGGAAAAAGAAAACAGTTAACTAGCCACTTTTTTCTTTGCTTTTAGTTGTATCTGTATCAAAAGACACAGTCTTTACCACCATCATCAACATCTATTGCCTTCCATTTGTGTAGCATTTTATAGTTTACTAAACACTTTCATAAGCATTTTCCATTTCGATTGTTACAACTACCTCGTAAGGTAGAAACATGTCCTGTTTTTAAAAACAGGAAGCTGGGGTTCAGAGAGGGGAAAATCTCACAGCTGATACGAAGTAGCAGGGCCAGAACTCAGATCACCTGACATCTCATCCAGTTTTCCAATAGCCTGCACTGCCTGATGACAACCCCTTATCAGTCCCCCAAGCATTATGATAGTGGTTTGCTAACTTTCTCATCTGGAACATGTAGGAAAGGGATAAGCCACTGACCTTTTCCTGAGATTGATTCGGAAGACTATTTCTTGGAAATAGACCCTCGGATAGACATTTTGAAACATTTCTATGGCGTAATTTTCCAGCAAAATAGAACCCGGAAGAAGCCCCATGAAACTTCCTGACAAAGACTTTGCTGTTTAACGGTGTATTTCCCATCCCTCTGCTGTCACTTCCCTGTTCTGGAAACATCCTGGGTGTAAATTTATTCACTCAAAAGAAAACTTCATAGTGGAACCTGTCAAAACATACCCTATTTTTTTATTTAAAAGAAGATTAGCCAAAGACTAAGAATATTTCTGTTGAGAGAGATGCATGCAATCTGCCTATGCAAAAATAAGACTTTATGCAAAATGTGGGACTCCACTGTCCGCCCAAAGCTCCAGGACACTGTATTTAAGAGCCTGGGCTTCAGAGTTAAATAGACCTTTGGAGCCGTGTGACCTTGGGCCAGTTACCGAATATCTGTGAGGGTTAGTTTCCATTGAGATAATTACAGTACCTTATTCCAAAGCTTATTGTGGCGATAAAATAAGATAATGCATGGAAAGTGCCTAGCATAGACCCTGCCCCAATAAAATAAAAAGTGAGAATACAGTCAAAAGGTGGTAGTGGTGGAGAAGAACTGGGGGTAGGATGATTATTAGTAGGGTTTCACAGTAATGAACTCACACTTAGAATAAACAGCACAGAGAAACATAACGCACTCAAGATTTCAGGTTGTTTGAACAAGAGGAGCAAAGTGTATTCCCAGGGACTCTCCTAAGCAGATTTTGAGATGATGGTTTTTGCTGCTCGATTTCAAAGCTCTTTGAGAATCTGAAAATCCAGAGACAGAGATGCTTGTCTAGGACTATCTGGAGAGCACAGTTCCATGGTGTGTTGGAGGGGAGCAAGGAGGGGGTGGGTATTTTCCTGGGGCAGGATTTCTTAGAAATTTCTTGGAATGATTTGATACCTGTGCTTCTAACCAAAGTGACAAAACTTCAAAAGCAGCTGGAACTTTTCTGAACAAGAACTGTTTGGAATATTGACTTGACTTTCTTAAGGCTTTTAGCCCAGTAGTTTCCCCGCATAGCCGACGTATGACTGAAGACAGGCAGACCCCGAGTCCAGAGACCCCACTGGTGTGTGGTGGGTGTGCATGCCAGCCTCTGTGTGTCTTCTGTGTTTCATATGCTTGTCATTGACAGCCAGAAAAGTAAATCCAAGAGGCTCTTCCACAGACATCATTGTGGGCAAACTCTAGGTAGGCAGATACCTAAGCAGCCTCCTTCAAAAACTAAAATCCTCCAAATTCAATATGTTTCTGTTATTAAGATTCTAAACACAAAGTTCTCACACAACATCTGATTTCCTTTCTTATATTCCCTCCTTTGCTCGGCATCAAGTGTTTGCTTACATTTATAAAGTTAGCACTCATTTTGCAGCACCGTAAAAAGGATAACTCTCTTATACATATTTTAAAAATATATAATGTGGGAAAATCATTCATCTTCCTGCAAGTTCTAACCTCCATTTTCGTCTTGGACATAAATAAATTCTGAATATGCAAAAAGGTGAGAGAATTTATCATAAGTTTGGTGTGTATGTGGTCACAATGAAAGCTACCCACCACCCAGCCGAGAGTCTTGAGAACATAGTTTCTGTCGCAGAGAGGAATAAAAGGATTTACCTTTCCCTGGGCGTCACATGACAACAAACGGCGATGAGCTTCAGCTTCTGCCATCAACCATAGTTCAACCGAGTGCTTTTTTTTCTTTATTTAAGAAAAAAAAAAAAACCCACAAGCCACAGTCTTGAATATAGTAACTGCTGAGGTAGAAGAAGTGTCCTGGGCTGGTGCTGTGGGAACGGGGAGGGAGGGGTCAGGTGATGAGAGCGCTTTGCCGCCTGTGTTTCCAGCTGTTTTCAACACCAGCTTGTTTTTCAGGTGCATCGTCCCCTGCTCGGCCAGGCACTCCCTTGGTTCCTTGCAGCAGCACTACCCCACCGCCGCCTCCTCCCCGGCCTCCATCTCGGCCAAAGCTGCCTCCGGGAAAGCCTGGGGTCGGAGATGTGGTATGTACGTTCCCTTCTGCCCTGGCTCGCTTAGAAACACCTGGTGAATGACTTAATACGGGCCATCTCAACTTCAGGTCTAAGCCTAGAGCACTTGTACACATGGCCCTAACCAGTGACATCCGAAAGACTGTCCCTGCAGTATGGGTGTGAATTTCAACCCTCCTCAGACAGCTATCATCTTTCAAGCCGAGGTCTGGAATGGTAGGACTAGGATTCTGGGGCCCTCCGTTCTGCTAGGGTGGGTTTAATGCAAGTTAATATAGTAATGCTCAATTATGCTTAATCCTTTTGAAAGAGAGGTGTTTCTTTTCACCACATTTATCTGGTTTTGGAAGACTCCAAGAGCGGGCAAGTCCTGATTTCTGTCCCCAGACCACAGAAAAGTTGCTGGTGGCAGGCATACTATGTGAATATAAAGGAGGGTGGTGGCCCGATGAATTTGTTCCAGAAGTTTCTTGCATTGTGTTTTAAGGCTGAGGGGTAGAAAACATTCTCTGTAAACGATTAAGAGACTTCTGGCAGAGCTCAATTTCTTTGGCACCCATGCACAGGAGTCACAAACTGGTGATGTCCATAATATTTGGTTTAGCTAGCACAGTACAGTATTTTGTATTCAAATATCTTTAAATGGGTATAAGCTCCCACATTATGCTACCTGCTTAGTCCCTGAGGGCACGTGCGTTCACAGCCCTGAAACATCACTGACCACAGGTCTCCGCTTCTCTGAATCTGATGTACCTATTGCATGCAGCACGAGGTGGTTTATAGTTCCTCTAGCTCCACCACAAGCTCCTGTATAGATATAATCAACCTTAGTGTAAAAATGGTGTCACCTCTACTCTTTTAAGAACCTGAGTTGTCATATCTCGGGCTGGAATATTCAAAATATAGAACAAAAGTGCTATGACCTGATTATCTAATTTTTCATCTCTCTCTTCTCTCTGCAGCCCAGACCTTTTAGCCCTCCCACACATTCTTCCAGCCCTCCTCCGATAGCACCTCTAGCCCGAGCCGAAAGCACATCTTCGATATCGTCCACCAATTCCTTGAGTGCAGCCACCACTCCCACAGTTGGTAAAAATTATCTCCTCTCTTTTAATCTGTGTGTGGTTTTGACTGGCTATTTTTTATGGTCTGAAACCCCAGGCCCTGGGTTTCTGGTCGAAATTGTTTTGCTGTGTGTTTTGCTATCATCTGACTCTTCTTTTAAAAGCAGCTTCTCGGCAAAGGAGGCAAAGGGCTTTCACTAAACAAATAAAAGAACATTAATCCCTCTGTATTGCAGGAATTCTCTTATGCTATTCTGTACAGAGCTATTCATAAAAGTAACGAAGAAATAGTCAAATAAATTCCTGTAATTTAGATATTTCTTATAATAAGAAGAGTCTCCTTTGAGGGGGTATGTTTATTTAAATTCCAACCATGTACCCCATCAGAAATCACAAAATTTAGAACTTTTATTTCCTCAAAGTTTTCATTTCTTCATCACTTTTGGTTGTCCTCATGTTGACAGATGGTATAAACATTGGCATTGTGGGACTTGAGCAAACTTTTTGACATTTTTTCTAGTGCTTTTCAGTGATGTCAATTTTCCCCAAGAAATGTCATTGCTGGCATTTTCAGTAAATGCCTTCATACCTCTTTCCTTATGGTTTGCTGAACGTGAAGAGTTGAGAAGGGCTGCTCAGCTGGATGGTTTTCCCAGGTTTAAAAGCCTCATTTCGCCTGGAGTGTCTTCCCTCTTCCCAGGCTGGTCTCTCTCTATACCCCTTTACCCGTCTTCCTGAGCTCCTACTGCCTCTGTCCCCTTTGCATGGTGTCTCTGACTGGGGCTTTCCCATTCCATTTTTTCCCATTGTCCTCCTTTGTTGTCTGAACTCCCCTCCAAGTCTTCTGTGTTATAAACCCACTGCCCCATCCTGCATTGCTTGGGAGAATCGTTAGCCCAAGCTAAATACATTCCTGCTGCTACTTACGGAAGACCGGCTTGCTACACAGTTGCCCATGTGACAAGTAGTTTGAACAAAGTCTGAAGCTCTTCTGGAGAAGAACTTCCTCTTTTCCTTGGGAAATAAGTTAAGGTGTGCCTCTGAGGGCCCCCAAAGAGAATTTCAACTATATCACGTGCTCTATATTTTTAATCAGACCAGCCCAAAAGAATCCTTCAAATTTGGTGAAAATATAGCCAGCTATCCAATTTTTTGTGATTCATTAACAGATATTTAACATTATTTATATAGCCAAGTCTATATTTTATCTGCATCATCAGTTGGAACAATTTGGGGCTTCCTATTTTTAGATGTCTATTAGCTCATTTCTCTCTGGGTTTTTTGTTTGTTTTTTCTGTAACAACTTTATTTTTGAACTCTCTTTAATACTCTTGATTGCTACAGCCATTTCCCCACTTCTGCTCTGTTGCTTTTGGTTTGTTTTGCTCAAGATCATTTATTCCACCCACTTCATGTGATTTTCCTGGTTGGTCAGAGAGGAAAGTGAAAAGAATAAACTGTCACTCAGAGAAAGCAGACCTCAAGTGACCTCGGATGACTCTCTAATGGATTCTTCCAACTCATTGAAATTCACAGAGGAAATTGCACACACAGAGAATTCGAACTGTGTCCATGTTTTGTACAATGTGTTTTTATGCTCCCTGCTGCAGAAATCTCAGATTCTGGCCAGTGACTGATTATTAACACATCTAGTATGCAGTCTTTCAAGATGAACCACAGAGGAGTTGAAATAAACCCACCTGTGAGGATTGTCACATGGCTTCATTGCTGAGGAGCGTTCTCATTTAATCTGTTGGGTTCTGTTATTTTTATTTAGTTTTCATCTTCCTAGCTCTCCTGTTCTTTATTTCCTGCTGCTGCAGGCCACCTGACAGCCACTTCTCTCTGAAGTAAATGCACTGTCAAGTGACTGACTACCGAGCAGCTTCTCGTATATTACTGTCTACCTCTTTTTGGAGAGGATGTGCTTTGGCTGTTCAGCACCAAGGGGCTGACTCTTCATGACCGACTTGGAATGTCAGCTTAAGGTAGTCAAATGGCTTGGGGAGGTAGAGAATTTCAGCAGCAAATTCCTGAAGTTGATGGCTCAACATTTCCCGCCCACTGCCACCGTAATTTTTGACAATTCCTATGACACTTGAGCCAAAATTGGGGCAAGTGTAGTAGAAACTGTATTTATTTATTTGTACTTGCTTATTGTAAAGTTTAATATAATTCAAGGACTAAATTTTTAACAGCAAGTCTAATCTTTCTACACAACAGTTCATATAAGAATATGGCTCTGAAAGACCTAGGGCATGAAATCTTTCTTGAGAGCTGTGATTATAAAGTAGTAAATCTGATGCCACACCTGAAAATAGGACTTTTTGTGCATTGTCACAAATAGTGAAGAGCTCCTAGGCAGCTGTACTTGACTGAATTCAAGACCCCCTCAGTTAGAAGATGCACTATTATTTATACATGACTGAGAAGCGGGGAACACTGCCAGGTGAGCTCAGATGCAATGTTTTCTTATCACATTGATTTTCAGACCCCTACCAATTTCACAGAGGTTAAAATATGAAAAAGTGAACATATTAGAATCAATGAAATACAATAAGCTCTTTTTGCACTGGAAAAAGCTCACAGGACCTTCATTATTTGATTTGGGGGAAAAATCCTATTAATGTTGTAGGAATAGAGAAAACATTTACACTTATTCTATTCTAAGAAGCAAGCTCCTAGACATTTAGAGATAGAGATAAACAGGGAGTTACTCTAATTGTAAACATCCACTTTTATTACTTGTTTCTTATTTCTATGGGTGATAGGCTTTTTTAGACGTTTGCAAAGTCTTCCTGTGGGACTCCAATGCAAAAAGACCACCATAAAGACAATTTTTTTCTTGTTAAATTCACTGTTAATTACATTCCTTCACTGTTAATTATGCATTTTCAATTGCATCATTAACATCCCAGGAATCTGTAATGAATGAAAAGTAATCATTTATGGGCACCAAAGGAAGCATCAGATGCACTTCGATGCTACATTTGGTCTAGAACTTTGAGCAAAAGTGATTTTATTCAGTACTGGAATGTTAACCATAGCATCTAAAACTTAAAATATTTCCTCCAAACCTTTGTCTCTCCAAACTGGGTGGCAATTCTGAATAGAGTAAGCTTTCTTTTAAAAATACCCTTATTAACGCCAATCATTCTGCACAAAAAGAAAGTCCTTTGGAGGTGGATATTCCTGATCCCAATTAAAAATTCCCACATTTAATTTTAGTCTTTTTTTTTCTTCTGCTATTTTTTTTGAAAAAGGCTGTCTCCAGTACTGGCTTCCCCATCCCAGATCAATTGGAGGCAATTTCCATGGTTAGTTCTTAAGGAAATTTTTTCTTCTGTACTTAATTTGAGTGTTGCCCTTATTTAAACCAAGCACAGAGCTTTCCAATGACTCATTTTTTAAGTTCTCTGATTTATTTAAGGTGTTTTCTTCTGAGCCCTTAATGTCCATAACCACCAAAAAAAAAAAAAAAAAAAAAGCATAAGCCTGCTATTCGACTCTTATGAACTATTGTTTTGCAACTTCGGCTCAAAAAACAAATTCCAATATCGGAGGCTCCTCATGTTAAGGAGACTGTAAATAGGAAGTTGGTTCTGTAAAGGAAGGAATAGCCTCCATCATTTCCCACTAGTAGGTATGAAAAGGCACTGCTATGTTCAGTTACTGCCAGTATAACAGTTTTGCTTCCTATTTTCTGGAGAGATTATGGAGCCCCAGTTCCATTCATCCTGTTCCTCTCCTAGAGAGATTATAGGAGTTGCATTAACTGTTCTAGCCACCAAGGAAGCCCCATGTATAATAAAAACTGATTTACAGGTGATATCCTAGAACCTTAAGAATTGGCAAAGAGGTAGTTTCCCTGCCTTATCCTCTACATTTAGGAGGCAAGCTAGTAGAATATTTTCCATGAAATACTGTTTACGGAATGATTTTACTACCCTCACCCATTTCCTTATCTTTCTTTAGCTACATCGTATGGAGGATTCTCCCTTACTGGTCTTTGTACAGATTTTATTCAATTTTATATTGAAGCTGTAATAATACCCTTAGGCCCTGTGGCATTGAGCACTTTTTTGTTAATTCACATAGAGTAAAACTCCAATTATCTGCATTTGTTAGTTGGTGAGAAGGGAGACCATGTGCAAAAATCTGGAACACTTGGGGTCCAGAGCAACTGCTGTGACCACTTTACAAAGGCATTTGTCCATAGCTGTATACCATAGCCAAAGATGGAATTACAATAATGCCGTTCAAAATTAACAGTCCACAACCACCAAAGACAGGTGCAAGGCAAATTGAATTTGGATATTCATGAAGTTGAAATGGGATGCTTCATTCAGGGACCTCAGATTTATACTGTTGCTTTTTTATGGTCTCGTTAAAAGCTTCCTCTTTCCCCATGGGGGGATGGTGCGTGCTGAGTGAACCTGCTAAGCTGTCAGCGCTCCATCAGGAGATTCTGTTGATGCACATATGTCTGGCCACTTGAGAATTGTGTCTAAGTGAAATACACTTGCACGAGTCAATTATTAATGATAGTGTCTTTAACGACTCCCTGAAAAGGTGGGGGCGTGATTTCTTCCATGGAGCTGACTTCAGCCAGATTCACAGATGCTAAAACTTGGCATTTTTAAAATTTTAATTTCTTCTCATAGAATCATCATGAAATAAACACATCACTTTTTTATATCCTAGTCATAATCCCAGTGTCTTAGATTTTGTTTCCTTTTTCCATTAAAATCATTCCTGTGTTTCGACCAGTAAAGTGTGCTGCTTGATTTCATTTGGGATTTGTATTTGTGCTTTTGTTTTCCATTCCTTTTTATTTCTTTGGTTCGTAGCATCAGAAGATGATGTTTTTTATGACAAACTGCCCTCGTTTGAAAGGCGCTGTGAAACGCCTGCAGGTATGGTGCGAGCCAAGCAATCTCTAGATTCTAGACTTTGAAAATCCAAGCCATTATACCATCTGAATGCTGTAAACTTCATGGACATGCTATTCCCCTCATGAGTGTCCAGTGCCTCTCAGATACACCTGTCTATTTACTGTTCATCGTGGAGCTCATGCCACTGAATTTTTTTAAGTGAACATATTAAAAGCAGCAGGTTGCATGACAGTTTCTCAGTGAAAAGGTTCAAAAAAGGTGAGATGCTATTGCTTTGTGAATTTACAAAGGAAGGAATAATTTAACTGCTCAGAATTACATGTCCAGTCACTGCTTTTTAACTTAAAAAGTAATAGAGCACCGTTAGTAACCTTGTTTTCTCTTTGGTACATAGGCAAAGGGTGTTTGTGTCTGGATGCCTAAGGTGATTCCAGGGCAGGGGATGGAAGATGTCTGACATCTTCCAGGAACTTTAAATTGATATGCAATGCTGTTGTCATTTAAAACCTAAGCTAAGTTTTCTATAACCCGTAACTCCGAGTTTATCTTTTTGAAAACGTAGAAGGGGATGACACTGAAGATGAAATGGATACAGCAATTGCTGAATGACAGTTTGCCCAAACCAGTGCAGTTAAAATATGCTGGCGCCCCTGCATGGCCAGGAAGACTTCTGCTCCACGCGCACAGTCACCAAGTGTCAAGCTCCCAACAGCACATGCCCATCTCTTTAGGCCTCCATAGCTTTGCTTTTGCTTTCTGTTTCCCAAACTACAAAAACCATAGATTGCTAGCCTTCCCTTTTTCCTGCACGCCAATAGCATGCAGTGCCTCTGCCCTCCCCTGTAGTGAGATTATGACCTGCTCTGTAACTCATACTGTGTCCTTCTCTCTCCCTCTCCCTAACCTTCCCCATCCCGCTTCAACTCCCGGCCATACAGAGAATGAACAGCCTTCCCTCGTTTGGTTTGACAGAGGAAAGTTTTATTTGACTTTTGAAGGTAAGTAGGACATAGCATACCAGATTCTAATTTATACTTCCTCACCCTTTTCCATCTTCATTCGAAATCCCAGCTCTCTTCAAAAGACCTGGTCTCACTTTCTATATAAAAATGCTATGGCTACTTAGAAAATATTAAATACTAAAGAAAATAGTACATGAATTTGGTTGGTATGGGATCTTCAATTTTTCATATTAAAAAAATTAAAGCTAATTTGCAGTTAATATTGGTTACTTAATTAACTGTGTTAAATTGAAAAAAACAACCTTTTTTGTCCAAGGAACTTAACTCTGTCAACCAGGGCTCTTTCCTAACTCTTGCAAACGCAATGCAACTAATATAAGGACATTTTTGGTTGGAATTGGCATTTAACTTTGGTTTGGATGATTACCAATGCAACATCTACTATTGTAAAATGTAAATATTTATATATATTCTTATGACAAGGAATACTGCGTGGGAGATCAGACAAATGAGGAAAAGAAAAAAGAGGAGTGTTTTAGTAAGTTCTATTTCCATCTCCTGAAATTGCAACTGGAATGACTGTAGTAAAATGGACAACTATCACTGGACTTGCCGTTTTAGAAGATTAAGGAAAATATACATAAATATAATGTCAGATGTCTAACCTCAATGTTGGATAATTTGTCATATTCTGCATTAAGGATTAGCATTCTTCTGTTTTATATTTAAATTCTAAATCATTTTAACAGGCCAGGCATTTGATAAAATGGCCTATTTAAACTCAAGGTGGGGGCAACATTAAATAATTTAACTTAATTAACGGGCCATCTTAAACATAAATTCTTATCACTTAAGCCCCTATTTTCTACAATTTTAAATAGCTAAATTTATCCTGGGATCAAAAGTTGGCCAAAAAGTATTCTACTCTAGAATCGAATCTAAATATTGAACTTGTCTTTGTGTTTCGTGACAACAAAAAAAACTTTCCTAACCTGAGTGTATATTTTAACACAACTTAAAAAATCAGAATGACTGATACAAATTTTTAAGTAGTTTGTGTGGTGTGGCTTTTTTTCTCTCAACAGTGAATTTTCCTTACAAGATGGTCTTGGGGGTGGAAGTCCTTAGCGTGGAGTAGCTTGGATGGCAGCAGACAGTATGGTCTGACTTAAAACTTTCCACATACCTGCTGTCTTGTCTTGGCTCAGGGACAGGGCAGGGGGATAGGTGGTCCTCAGGGCAGGAGGCATATTTTCCACTTGTATGGGAAGTTTTCATTGCCTCAGGTCATTAATTTTGTAATAACCAAGGTGCAAAGTCCACAAACTTATGACCTTCTGAACTTTCTCTTTGAATCAGATGGAATTAAAAAGTTCCCAGGTGTCTTTGTCCCGATCAGCACATCTCAAAGGAGAAGCTACCGTTGAATAGGTTGGTAACCCTGAAGGACAGCAAGTACCTCAGACGGGAAGGCCCTGTCTCTGCTTCAGCCGGGCCACAGCAGAGGCTGTAGTTTACCCTGTTTTAACCAGGAAATTAAGCAACACGCTACAGGCAACCCTCCAGTAATTGTCTGGGGCTCCAAAAAAGAACTGGGCAATTTTTCTGTTGTTGTAGTTTGTTTTGGCTTCAGAGTATCTATTGGCTCATTTGCTTGTGTTTTAGTTTGGGTTTCTTTAAACAGAGAGAGGCAGACGTTTTTCCGAAGATACCAATCTAAAGACAATTTTTGGTTGTTGGTTTGTTTGTTTTTGAAAAGGAAACTATCAATCAAATATACGTATTAACAAATGTGTGGAATACCATAATATGAATCACATTTTTATTTTAGTAAAATATAATATTTGTTAGTAAATTTCTGGATATCTAAAGTTGCTAATATTGCCATCCTAATTAGTAAGACCAAATTCCTTAAGCCTCTCAATTTGGACCAAGAGAAGTCACACAAGAAAGAGTTTTAGTAGAAATTGATTGGAATCTCTAGTACTGTGTTATCTTCATCTTGCACTTTGCTCAAGTCTAGGACGTATAAGCAGGTAGAAGTACATTAAAATGAACTTCAAGGGAAGACTTTGGAGAAACTAAAATGACACCTTGCCCCCTGAGCAAGAATGGCTATGTTTTAGGAATGGAGAAGGTTTGTTTTCATCATTTATGTACATTAGTCTCAGGTATTTTAGCTAGTGCAACCTGGAAAGATTTTTCTATTTTCTTCTGTGATGATAAAATGATATAGAAATGGTAACATGTTAAATTGCCTTGAGAATAGTGCCCCTACCCAAATTTTTATACTTTACAAACACTGTCATTCAACATGTTTTATTATAGCACTTCTAGCATACTCTTCTAGGGCACTCTGATTTTACCCACATTTTTTATTATTAATATTAGTTATTATTATCTACAATTCTTCATTCAGGCAATGCAAAAGAGGAAGAAAGAATCCCAGGTCAAAATATTCACCTGTTCTAAATATCTTTTAAATTATTATTTATTGGCATCTAAATAATGTCTTTATAGTGTTCAAAACCTTAGCCTGTCTTATTCACTGCTTTGTTCTTACAGGGTTTAGGCATTGTAGCTACCCAGTAAGTGTTTGAGCCACTGAGCAGCCAACCAACTAATGAACATTGGCTTATGAATTTATTTCAGGATAACATGAGATGCTTCACACTTCCAAGAGAGATAGAAAAGTGTTAGACAGTGGTTCTAACTCACAAGACTTCCAAAGCTTTTCTTAATGTTTTACTTTTAAAAACAATTTCACTGAAAATGTAACCTAAGTTGGGCTAAAAAAAAAAGTAAAGGTTACAAAAGGTAATAACTTTTTAAATTCATTCATCCAAGAGTGCATCCTAGTGAAACGATCAAGTATTCTTCTGAAATGGAAGGAAGGGAAAGATATTTCCATGACAAGTAAAACATGTGACTGTTAGATATTTGAACAATTTCCTAGAGCATTTTAACATCAAGATGTTTCCAGAAATGTGCCGTTCCTGGCCTTGATTAGCTTATTTAACTACAAAATCATCTTGTATCTGGTAATGGGAAAAAAAAACCCCGCAACCATACATTCTTGAGTGTCCTTGTTGCTGAAGACCATCTCTATGCTCATGCATCCAGCTTCTTGTACACTCATCTCTAGACTGCTCTGTTCCTGTTTATTGCTTGAACTCCCATCACTCCTTTGGAATGGCACGTCCTTAGCAACACCCTTCCCTTCATTCGAAGGCTTTCTGCTGAACTCGCCCACCTGTTTCCTTAACTGAATCCCAGCTCTCCCCAGGGACCATCACTTCTCCTGTAGCACTTTCCACGGAAAGTTCTTCAGTCTTCTGTGGGCCATATGTCATGGGAGTAGGAGGCAGTGTTTGAATTCTCCCAACTCCCTTACTGCCACTTCCAAACCACTCCCCACTGTGAGAAGCAGCCGTCTGACAATTCCATCTTCTACCCGTCCTCATTGCTGTCCACCGCTAACCTGCAGAGCATTCCTCTGCACTAGTCTATAGGCTTGGAGATGCTGGCAGCTCCTTTTCATCCTCTTCTCCACCACACTTCCTCGCTTCTTCCTGTGGCACAGATTCAATATGGGTGAGGCATCCAACACCCTGGCTCTGGGGCCTCTGACTTCTTCAACTCCAACAAACCTTCCCTCCACTCTACTCAGTAACCCACACCTCAGGCCACATCTTGGAAATGGTCCCCACTGGCAAGGGTAATTTTAGCTGTTTCATAACTAACAATTTGCCACCCTTCCTGTACACCAAGGACTGCATTAGGCAATGATTCTTTCATTCAACACTATTTATTGAGCAGTACTGTGTGCTGGCACAGTCCTGGACTCTCACCAGTAGTGGACAAACCAGGAAAAAAATCCCTGTCACCACGGAGCTCACATTCTAATGTGGAGAGTCGAAAGTAAGAAGATAAATAAGTAAAATATATAGCAGGGAGATGGTAATAAGTTCTACAGAAAAACATAAAATAGCGAAGGAGAATGGAGCGTATTGGGAATGCAATTTTAAATAGGGGACCTGAAGTAATAAAGGTAATGGATAATAATAACTAAGATCTGAGTGCTTACCACATGCAAAGTACCTTCCATCTGTTATCTCGTTTCATCTGCACAACTCACTGAGAAAGCAATCAAGATTGCTTGATTCAGGTAACGTAAGTAACTTTTGCAGGATCGCTCAGCCAGGAAGAGTAGAGCAGGCATTCAAAGCCAGGTTGGCCAGCTGGAGACCTGGGATGATGCTCTGTTCTGCAGAGGTCATCTCATTCAGTCTGAGGTAGGTGGTGCTGGTGGGCTTTCCCTAATCTCCTAACCTTCCAGCTCTCCAGTCCCCTGATTTTCCCTTGTCTTTGACCTTGCTAAGACCTCTGGTCTCATGTCTGCCCCTTTCTCACTCAGTCCACTAGCTCAGGCCAACATTCAAGTTCTTTTTTCTATCCAGGTTAGACCCCATGGAGGAGAAATATGTTTCTATGAGGACTTGAATCATATATACAATGAGAGCTACATTTTCTTCTTTGAAATTATGTTGTCTACGTGAAAAAAATGAACTCTTGGGCATTTTAAACTTCTGAGCTCCTTCAGCAGGTTATTAAATATCCGTTTAGTAATTGGTAAGGCGCAGTCATAGCCATGGACCACTCAACTTTTCTTACCCTCACATAGTAATAATATCCTGTAAAGAGCATCAGGTCAAATTTTTCACATGTGGCCGGAAGGATATTAATTCATTCATCTGAGAGTCACTAGAAAAAGGAAAATTGGAGGGAGTGACTAATTTTCTGAGAAGCAACTGTTTTGCTAAAATCACAATATTCTATAAGTGGGAAGTTATTGACTAATTGTCTGTACCCCACTGTAGGCCCTTTTCAATCAATAACGTAGTGAAGTTATTGTTATTGAGTACCAACTTTGCAGATCCACAGTGTTAAGTACAACCAGGTTGGGGAAAAAATATAAAAACATAAAAAACAGTGATACAAGACTGTCTTCATTAAAAATATTAAAAATCACCCTC